TAAGGTGTCAAAATTAAGACACGTGTACGTATTTAACTTTTTGGGGGCTATTATAATCGCTTTTATTTTTAAATGTGCTAAAATGGTTACCGTAGTAAATGTCAATACCATACGGATCTCATTATTACCTCCATGAACTGTGTCATGGAGGTTATATTTTCAGTTGCGTTTATCTGTCTGTCTGTTGGTCAACAAGATAACTCAATAACGCCTGGATGGATTGGTTTCATACTTGGTGTGTTGGTAGGGTGTGACGAAAACTGGAAATGATTTTGGTCTCCCTAGTGGCTTCTCTTGGTACTGCAGCGCAACTCCGCAGCGCAACATACATCACGATGCATATATCATGTTAATGACGAGGTCCTTTGTACAATTAAAGAAGAAATTTACATTTACATATCAAGATCATATTTCATGGAGGTATGAGATCTCGGAATTCTAGTTCAGAATAATTCTTGTTTAGCTACCAAGAAATTGCATTGGATGCCTTTAAGAGTGTGCAAAACCAGTGTCATATCACACCATGACACTATGTTTACAATGACCGTGACAAATGTCAGACCATGCCTTATGCAATGGCGTGTAAAATTTGCAGAAATATACCAGACTCATTATTGTTTGTATTTTTCCATAAAACTTCAGGTTCATGCTGTCCACCGTAACGTCTGACTCTGAGGACTGGATGAGGAAATGTGTGGCTGTTGTTGCTGTTCCTAAGACGTAGTGCTCATGTAACCGAAGTGGAGTTTACCAGGTTCTTTTGGATGCTGCACAGGGAACTAACTACAGTACTAGCAAGAACACACGCAGGACACAGGCATGGCCGTTACACACGCACGGGAGTCGGGGGCTGGGACAGTCTCTCTCTGCAACCTACTGTCAGGCCCTCTCTCCCAGACTGTCTTCCCAACCCACAGAACACCCAGCTTTTATTCTCAAATCACAGACAAAGCCACAGATTACAAGTCAGAAATTCGTCTGGCAAGGGGAACAATACAATATTTAGCACATATATGACATGTCCTTGATGTAGAAGGGATCAAAGCATCGAATTTGCATTGACCAGATTAACATACTGGCCACAAAAACTTCAAAGCCAAATGGGAGGGAAAGATTACAGGATTAGAAATTAAGTATTGCCTGGTGCTGCAGAGGTTAATGTGAATCATTATGGAAAGTGCATTTTTATAGCTTTTTATGACTTTATAATCAAAAGAATAGCTTCAGACAGCTAGCTAAACATAAGCTTTCAATCAGAGTAGAGACTGTAAGCTTTATTTGTATGTACAACAAGCCTATATCCCACTTACCATACAGTGTCAGATGTCAGAATAAAGTTCAATGAAACCTAAAGGAACATTTATTATACTGAAAAGTCAAAATCTGAAAAATTTAATCATTTTGAGGTTTTATAAAGACCTACCCTTTTACCAAATATAAAGACAATCCATTTAAACTTTCTCGAGTAATCATGTTTACAGACACACTGACGAACGCCGATAAAAACATAACCTTCTTGGCGAAGGTAATTATGTGTAACAGAACTGAGTTATGTACAAAGCACTTTACGCTTCAGATGTAAGAACTGTATAATGCATTTTTTTGTTTTCTTTATGTATTATGACTTTCATAACAGTTAAACCCTCAACAGTACACCTTCCCGGACTGATTAATCTGTACACCTGGGGTCCGCGCGGACCCCAGAGCAGTTTTTTGCTAATTTTTAGAAATTATCAACATGCTACCAGCTCAATTGTTTTGCAAATTGATGTGTGAACCTCTGAGACCACATTATGTACAAAAATCATACATTTTGACCTTTTCCTATTTTGTGTGAAGAAAAGACAAAAGGAGGAAAAACCCTATTTTTAAACCCTATTCAGACCGAGTGGTCTTTTGAGGCCCGCGCCAACTTTAATCTCAAATAGCGCCTAAACGGCTGGAGCTAGAACCATCAAATTTGGTGAGCTTTCCTAAAATGTATCTGGAAAAAATTTCATGTTGGTTAAATAAGTTAATTATTTTTTTTGTTGCCATGGTAACGGGTTTCTGACAGGCAGTTTCTTTGGAAAAATAAGTAATTTTGGTTTAAACATAAAAATTTTCTGGGTTTTACATTAGATAACACTTCCTTTCTGACATTAATAACATCTTACATAATTAGAGATAAGTTAAATCATTTAATATTTACAACATATGCTAATTAGATGACGTCATTGGTCAAAATCCAAGATGGCGGACCATATTATTACCTCTGACGTCATATGACGTCATAATTACACCAAAGTTGTTAGAATTTAAATCTATTAGTACATCATTCTCTGAAAATTTGGTGGCCATACGATAAGTGCATAAAAACATGTAAAAACGGAAATAAAGTAATGTAAAAGATGATGATAAGAACGCCAATGTATCCATTACGATCGAAAGCCGGCTGGGGTCCGCGCGGACCCAAGAAAATCAGATATAAAAAAAAAATAAGAATGGGAGAAACTGGGTTTTCTGCGCTGTATTAAGGGACAACTTTGTGGGTAACAATTACCTGAAATTTCAGAAAATAATCTATAGAAACAAAAAAAAATTATAGCAAATATAGTCATGTACCCCAGGTGTACTGTTTAGGGTTAAAATGCTGTTTCCCTGGAGCCCAGTCTACTGAAAACAATACATACAAGATGACAACAACGGGAATTTCAGTAGGATTACTGGGTTTGATAAAAGAAATATTCACTTCACCGTTTGCTTTCTACACCGAAGTTTCAAAATGAACTGGTTTTAGGATATGGTTACTAATATTTAACTCTCCAATTGTTGCGAACTCATAGTCTTGATCCTGTTTACCAAATACTCCGCTCTTGGATAGCTGAAGTTGTCTTCCAAATTTCACAGACTTGGACTGTCTGCAACACACATTGAAGATACCCCTGTGAAGGAAATTAAGATTTAGATTTACTGCATTTAAGGACATTCATGTGATGAAAGCTTATTGTTGTAATCAACTTGCATGTCACATACAGCATTTCATGAAAACTGTTAATTATTCCATTGAAAACGCACTTACATAATAACCGGATCATATAGAGTAATTTACACAAAGACAACAGTACATATTTAAAACATATTTAAAGGCAGAAAGTCGGCATCATTAAAAACAAGAAGTACTAGAACTAATTATGGAAAGAATAGTATCATTTTCTTTTTTGTTCAACAACACAGAAATTATGACCGAACAAATAACGAGAAAAGAGAAACACGTGCAAACACAAACGGCACAGAAAACATAACATTCTGGGCAAAGCAAGATGGTAGTACCATCAAAACACATAAAATACTTCTACTTGACCTACACGCAGCCACTCTCTTATTGGCCGATCCTCTAATTGCCATGTTATCATTGATTTGATTTGTTACTCCGTGAAGGAGATAAACTTTCTGGCGGAGTATTGTGGGTAGACGGTTTTTGTGTTCGCAGTCAAATCACTGGGTTCCCTTTGTTTAATCGGCACGCAATTTTAAACGTCGTCTGCAGGCATGCCCGTGTTGATGCATGTGTCTTTTGATCCAACACAAAAAGTTCTCTCACCTAGAGCTTTCGACCAGTCACCCTGGGCCCGTCTACTGAGGTAGACCAGAGATACTAGTCGAAAGATCTAGTCTAGGTGAGAGAACTTTTTTTGTGTTGGACCAAAAGTTTCAGCTTTAAACAACAACAACAACAACAACAGCAACATAGTATTACCTGAAATTTCGCGAGAGGAAGGCGTAACAGACAGGGTCTGCGCAGCTGTTGGAGTGTGCCAGGAGATGTAGTGCCAGCTTCAGGATGTAGGCCGTCTGGGTGTAGCGAGAGATCACCTCAAACTTGATGAGCAGGTTGTAGATGAGGAGAGGCGCCCAGCAGACCGTGAACACCGCCACCAGACCTACCATGAGCTTTATAACCTTTAAGAAGTAACCAAAGACATTACGTTATCACATATTAGGCCACAGCGAGTACATTTTATGGATGACATCCTCCGCAGACTCCAAATCTAATGCGATAGGGCAAAAAAATAAGGCGGGCCCAAATAAACAAGATTACAACATGTTCACATTCTGACATCACAAACCTTGTTAAACAAGAAATTTTGTGCTATACTGTGCTTAGTTTGCTGTTAACTATTTCAACACTCACTTAAACAGCTTTAAAAAATAAGAAAAAGTTTCAATCATTTCAAAATTGTACATTGCTATGGCCTTAGTATGCCGTAGATGTAGTAAGACTAGATACCAGACTTGTATCATTCTACTTTATCTACTTTTGAGTTGATTTTGTGCACTTTTGACTACTGTATTAATTATGTTAATATGTACAACGTTGTATGAAGTTTTTTTTAATTTCATTTAATGTCTACAGTCTAACCTTTGATCTGGACTTGGTTTCCAATATATCTGTACCTATGTTCACTTTCATGTTTATGTTCTTAGAATCCAATATAGGGTTATAAGCCCATATGGGCTGGGCGACAAAAGTCGCAAGACACGTAAATCATTCATTTTTTCATTTATTCATCAATTCATTAATTCACTGTATCACTTTTTGTGCATACTATAGCTAGAACTTTATCACTAACTTTATAACGAAGTCATTTATTTTTAGGAGCTGAATACAGTACAATAAAGGCAGTTTATTTATTCATTCAGTGACTCGGCCCCACTACAAACCAAAAACAACAACAGCAAAAAGACACTAACCTTTGAAACCCCATACCTCCGTAAAATATTTTAAACGTTTGTATCTTTTTCATTTCTTATGTTATCTTTTTTTCACTCATTATAAAGTTCTATTTTATCTAAGGTTTTAATTTTCATAATATATTCTTACTGATAGTCTTCTAAACCCAACTTACATATTAATTGACATGTAAGCATAAAATGATAAAGAAAATGTGCTCAGAAATGACATTACCAGAAAAATGTCTCTTACCTTTCGAGGGTTCCCCCGTCTGTGAGCGGTGACGACATTGTCCGGGTCTGGATCCACGGAGTCCCTATTGGTGGTACCCGAAAAAATGAAGAGATGCCTCACGTGACTTGTCATAGTACTACTTTTATAGGGACATCTGTCCAATATTGACATTTACTCCTTACTCCTAAGCGCATTTTCGACACCATATTTGCAGTATTAAAAATGCTGCAAATATGGTGTCGAAAATGCGCTAAGAAATAGTAAATGTCGATATTGGACAGATGTCCTCATGCAGAATATTTTGTTTTGCAACCCTGAAATTGCAATGGATGCCCTTTAGCCTCCACAGTAAATATATTTGATCTCAAACTATTACATGAGGCCATGTTGATTTGATTACATAGATGACATCCACGCGCGCATGGATTTCCGTCCGTTTTCGACCATACTGTAAATCATACAAAATGTTGCAAAGAAAAGTATAGGAACACGATGCAGATGTAATAGAATACCGAAATTCAGGAAAAGAAGGAAATGTGGAAGAAATGAAAATAAAAAGCCTGTTATTATTCCTCATACCATACTCCGTGTGTTACGTGATTTGTTCAACCTCTATGACCACGTAGATGTTATAGTAAAGGAATTGTTTTGCAAACTTTTTTTAATTCGCATTTGCACACTTGCATCAGTTTTGGGTTCCCAGAGGATGTCATTCATATAATCAAATCAACGTGGTCTAATGCACGCGACTAACATGTTCCGCTCTTTCCGTCCGTGTTTGTTCCCTTGGTAGCCTCCATCCCAGGCGACCAGGACCTCGTGCCCAGATCTGATGTACATGTACGTCATGACACATAGCGGCACCAGGAGTATCACCACGGCGTTGTACACGGCGTACAGGCGGCTGTACAGCGGGGCCGGCCAGGCATGCACACAGTGACACACCTGCTCACCGTCTCCACCTTCAAACAGCCTCGTCGTCTGCATGGAAATACACATGTTTTAAAGCCACACAAATTTTAAACTTTTATTCAAAGCACTGCATTGATAGATGGAAAAACTGCAACAACTAGGAAAAAGTTTTGAGCAAAATATGAGCATTTTTAAGTTGATTCAGAACCATAATCTTTTTTGTGCAAATCAAAACGAAATGAAGAGGCGAATCCGAGAACCAAAAAATTAAATTGGTGTGGCCTCAGGGGAGATTGTATTCCCTTCAAGTGAATTAATGTTGCTAAAGTGCTTTTTATTTGTTTTTGCTTTTTCCTTAACCCTCAACAGTACACCTTCCCGGACTGATTAATCTGTACACCTGGGGTCCGCGCTGACCCCAGAACAGTTATTTGCTAATTTTTAGAAATTTTCAACATGCTACCAGCTCAATTGTTTTGCAAATTGATGTGTAAATCTCTTAGTCCACATTACGTACAAAAATCATACATTTTGACATTTTCCTATTTTTTGGTAAAGGAAAGACAAAAAGAAGAAATACCCGATTCTTCAATCCTATTCAGACCACGTGGTCTTTTGAGGCCCGCGACAACTTTAACCCTCAACAGTACACCTTCCAGGACTGATTAATCTGTACACCTGGGGTCCGCGCGGACCCCAAAGCAATTTTTGCTATTTTTTTAGAAATGATCAATATGATACCAGCTCAATTGTTTTGCAAATTGATGTGTGAACCTCTGAGTCCACATCACGTATAAAAATCATACATTTTGACCTTTTCCTATTTTTTGGCGAAGAAAAGACAAAAAGAAGAAAAACCCGATTTTTACACCCTATTCAGACCGAGTGTTTTTTTTCTTAGGCCCGCGACAACTTTAATCTCAGATAGCGCCTAAACGGCTTAAGCGATCAAATTTGGTGACCTTTCCTAAAATGCATCTGGGAAAAAATTCATGTTATTTAAAAAGTTAATGATTTTTTGTGTTGCCATGGCAACGGATTTCTGACAGGCAGTTTTTTGGAAAAAAATCAGTAATTTTGGTTTAAACTTTAAAATTTTCAGGGATTCATATTCAATAACACTTCCTTTCTGACATTAATAACATCTTACATAATTAAAGATAAGTTAAATCATTTAATATTCATAATATATGCTAATTTGAAGACGTCATTGGTCAAAATCTTAGATGGCGGACCATATTATTAGCTCTAAGGTGATATGACGTCATAATTACACCAAAGTTGTTAGAATTTATTTCTATTAGTACACTATTCTCTAAAAAGTTGGTGGCAATACGATAAGTGCATGATTTTATAAAACATATAGAAACAGAAATAAAGTAATGTATTAGAATGCTGGTGTATCCATTACGATCGAAAGCCGCACAGACCCCGGTGTACTGTTTAGGGTTAAGATGCTACCCATGAAATTCCTGTTCAAATGCACAAAAAATGATCCATTGAAGACTCGTTAACAAATTTAATACACACAGTGATGCCGATGCACAGTGCGCTTACGTGCGCTTATGCGAAGAACCCGTGAGAAGCGATATCATTTAAGCATTAAACTAAATATCGTCTAGATTTAAAACTAGACCTTTTACGTTGGGCATTTTATTGCAGTGAGAGCCACACCAAAACGCCATATTAAAATACATAGCGTGAAATGGAAACCTAATCGTCCACGTAAAAGGATCGGAATCGATGCAGTATCAGTCCAATTAGAATTCCCTTGCGCCTATGCCGATTTATTGCTTCTCTTCACAAGTATATACGTTGCAGGCGACTTGAAGGCAGCACGTGCCTTCTGACAACGGAACTTCTTTGATGGATCATGCTATAGCAACTGATCATACCACAGCAAATACAGTGAACTAAAAGGTAGCATTTGCAAAGCAAATACAGAATGTTAACCTTGGGCTAGTCTTACAGACAGTTTAGTTTATTATTACTCAAACATATTCATATATGACATATTGAAGCTAGCTCCTCCAACTCTGTCTTGTCACAAAATGTAACTCAACCTTACATTGTTGTCTGCTACAGCACCAGTTACCATGGTGGCAGACGTCTGGCCTAGGTTATCTAATCTATTTGTTTGGAGAAGAGAAAAAAACAGATCAAAGACAATACCTTTACCTCTCAGTCTAATAACTCACCATCGTGATAAAATTATGTAGTGAATGAAAAGATACTGGATTAGCAATGGCAGCGCAATCACAAAACTCAGAATTGGCTGTAACAAACTTAGTATAGAAATCGGAAGATTCCATAAATTCCCAATGACCAGAGGGTTTGTCCATTTTGTCCAAAGCTTATTGAGGATGAATATCACTTTCTAATTGTGTGTCCTAAATATATTGATATACGCAATGCACTATACACTAGACTATCAGATTTATTTCCAGCATTTGCCACGATGAACTTGAAAAAAATTATTCATATTGACTTATGACAACCCCTACATGCTATACATAGGGATATATATTAAAGACTGTATGGATATTAGAAACTCCTCCAAAAATTGTGTAGGTTGGTACCTATCTCATACTAGCCACCCACTTTTTGTATTAGTTAGGTTAGCCTGATAAAAATGTAATTGATATGTACTTACTTAAGTTAGTATATACTTTGTAGCCTGCACATCTGTTTCGCAATAATGTTATTATTGTTTAAAGTTAAAGAATTTGTTCCAACACAAAAAAAAAATATTCTCTCACCTAGAGCTTTCGATCAGTCACTCTGGTCTTCCTCGATTAGTAGACTGACCCATGGCCAGTGAAGCTTGTGACGTGGCTTCTTTAAAGTGTGACGTCAACAATGGGTCAAAGGTATCTAATAGACGATGTCGACCCCCGTCGCGGTTCAATGTAGGGTGATGGGCCCTGATGTATCACCCCTCTCAAGAAATAGTCTTGTTCGAAGGGGGTCGACATCATCTACCACATACCTTTGACCCAGTGTTGACGTCACACTTCAAAGAAGCCGCGTGACAAGCTTCACTGGGTCAGTTTACTGAGGAAGACCAGAGTGACTGGTCGAAAGCTCTAGGTGAGAGAAATGTTTTTTGGGTTGGAACAAAAGTTTTAACTTCAAACATGTAACTACCAACACAGATGAACTTTCATGATAGTAAAGTTATTATTATTATTATTGTCTTACCGCAGGATACAGGATCGGTGAGCTGAGCATGAGTGAGATGACCCACACAAGCAGCAGTGCTCGGTACGCCCTGTGTCTGCCCTGCTGGGTACGAGCCTTTACCGGGTTCAGGATCACAAATTTCCTGTGGAAAATTATCAAGTTATTGGTTAACTGAACTTTGCTTAAAACCATGTGATGATTAGATCAAGACATGCATCGTTCATTCTCCTCAACAGTACCTTACACCAGCATCACACATTCACACCACACTATCGCTTCATCTGTATCAACACCATAATAATATGTTTAAATTTATACATCCGTCAATCACTCACACACTACACTGATGCCTCACCAGTAAGATGTTTTTTTTGGCAACTTTCAAACAAAAATGTACATTCTAAGTCCTGAAGCCCTGGTATTAAACCCAAATGAGCTGAAATTTGGCATGGAGGTACCTTGGACGCATGCACACAGAACGCTCTTTCACATGTTTTTGCACATATTACTTTAAAAAATTGTGTAAAATGGCATATGCATCTTAATGTTTTTTTTAGACAAATATGTACATTTTGGCTCCTTTGTCGTAATATGACCTGGAAGTTGGTACAATATGGTGGAATGCATGTCGTTACCACTTTAGTAAGTTTTTAAGTAATAGAATATTACGTCGTTATTTCCAATCACTTTACATGCTACACGATGTGCATGCACTGTAATCGAATATGCACACCATGTGCTTACATGGGCTTTTAAAACTGATAACAACATAGCAGTAGACATTCAATAGATTCCTTTATATCCATTCATTTATTCATTCAATCATTCAATCTATATCTCTGAACAATCTCTGAACTCTGGACATTACAAACTTTGATCATAACAAACTCTGAACTCTGGACATTACAAGTACAACTCTAACATTGTAAATCTGAACGTTTAGTAACAATCGCCGAATTATTAGCGAGGACAATGTAATATTTTATATTTTGTAATTTATCTATTGTAATGTAATAGTTATAAGGTTTCTGATGTGGATCTCACAGGCAGTTGCCTTTTTATCCATTAAAATGTATGTATATGTATGCATTTATATCTTACCGTTCGATTGCAATAGCCGTTAAGGTCATGACAGAGGCGGTGAAAGACAGCATCTGTAGATACGCCAGGATCTTACACATGGCCTTTCCCAGCACCCACTCAGACAGAAAGAACCACTCCGCGATTTTAATGGGCAGGCCGAAGAGAAGAACCAACAAGTCGGCGACCGACAGGCTCAGTAGGTAGAAGTAGATGCCGCCCTGTTTGAAGCGGAGCACGCTGACCACTACCACCGCATTCCCCACAACTCCTACCAGGAAGATCACCGCCCCAGCGACTAGGGTTGGGATGGCGATGTGGGGATACAGGTACAGAATCGACGTGACTCCGTGGGAAGAGGAAGAATTAGCAGAGAATGTGCCATTTCTATCGCCCCAGGACGCGTTGGACGATACGTTAGCCGGGTTGACCATGATGTGAATAAACGTCGCCGGCTGAATCGCGACACGCGTGCCAAACTATTATGCTGCGACGAAGCTGACTAGAAAGAAACTGACTTCACCGGTAACTAATCGTTCTGACATTTCAGTCTTCAGCTCCATTTCTGCCTACGGCTAGCTAGCCGGCACCAATTAGAGCCAAAACGGCATGACTCGCGACACTGTCATATACCGTAAACTTCCGAATAAAGTACGCACTTTTTAAACTTTTCAAAATCCCAAGAATGTCTCAGGTCCTCGCCAAAGTTGGAGTGCGTACTTAATTTGAGGTTTTTCCCCGACAAATCGGACGACGACCCAGTATTATATATGATGGAACACCGGCACGGGGAGCTTGAAATGACATTGATTCGTCCATAGCATGTTTAGATAACATTGACGAGTGGAAATAAAGCTAAACTTTAATAAAAGCACATACATATTCTGACTATCATCGATATTGACTCCAAGTTGCGGTTAAAAAAGAGGCCAAGTCACGCACGGTAAGAAAATGTAGGGGTCACTAATAATGACACCCCGCGCGTCGTCATGCTAACGGGATCGATATCGTTCGTGTAACTCCGGCCGAAAATATAAACCCCACGTAAGTACATATGAAATTGTAAAGGGTTTATAAGTGGTGATATTTGAAATGGTCCGCAAGCCGTGAACGTTCTTGATCGTCGTAATGTAACATGTGATAACATAATAGTTGTACCTCGACTGATGGTCAGTTCTAATGCACTTCCGGCTTGAGTTGAACTCAGAAATCTTCAAGATTATCGCCATTCCGTTCTAAAAGTTCAATTAACAGAAATTACTATTGATATTTCATTTCTTGTCACAAATCGTTTTAAATCTTGTTAAATGCGGTACAGGGATTTACTTTGTAGCGGGCTATATCTGCCAGTACGACGTGAAGACGCCAGCTATATGTACCCGACTGTTCGGCACACAACCGTGACAGGGGTGGAGTTAAAAATGTAGTCTATAACTAGAAAGGCCAATATTTGCTTTGGAGCAAATACAGCGATGGGTTCACCACATTTTACGACATGGCAGGGAAAGAATGGGAAACACAAGGGAAAACAATGATTTACATTGATATAACTATAATATGAAGTAAAATACAACTAAAACAACAGTTGGATAGCTATTCCCTACTTTATTGGTTAGGATTTTTAATTGCATAATGCAAACTGTTGATTTTCAAAATAAAAAAAAAACGTCCATGCCCGGCATTCCAATGCTGGAGCAGGAAAGCTTGAAATACCTACCAAAACACTTGAATACAGACATACTGTCAGTATGGAAATGCTTCTGTGCAGGTGTTAATCAAGTTAAATCCCAACAGCCAATCAGCAAGAAGTATAGAGGAAAGCTGCATGCCTATTGGTTGATGCCCTGCATTCCATTGTGATGACTCATGACCCAAACGTGGTAAACAAGGCACACTAACACAGTAATACATTAGCTATTACACAGCCAAAAAACTCAAATAAAACCATTCTAAAAGCCTTTATCACAATAATTTAAAAAACGCCTAGGGGTATTTGCCCACTGTACCTCCATACCAAATTTCAGGACCTTGGGCCCTAAAATGAAGAAGCTGAATCCATTTAAAAAATGGCAGGAGAAGGAGAAACATCAGAAAAAGCAATATGGTTTCACCACACCACTTCGTGGTGTGGTGAACCCATAAAAATCTTACCGCCGGCCGGTGGGTGGGGTCCAGTAGGTCTGTGTTTGGTGCGCCGACAGGCGTGGAGCCGGTGTACGTGCCGCTGCCCTTGGCAACATATCGTGGTGATGATGAAAATGGTCTATTGAGAATAAAAACACTGGCAGCCTTACATAGAGTGAATTGTGGTTCTTTAACAATTCAATATCATCTAAGACTCATTGACAACATAATACAAAATTCTTACCACATGGATTAAAACAGGAAGGTACAATCATTCAATATAAAATTCCAGACATTGGGAGCCCATAGCTAGAGCAGGATGCGTAATTTTTTTTACATTTTTTTATTCACATATATTTATTGAGTATTGGGCAAAAAGCACAAGTTGCTTCTACTCGAAACATACAACGAGTGTAAAACACATTGACAAAATACATGCATAATTACAAGGTGGATAAATTTATCGAGACAAGTTGGTGATCTATCAATGACGAGAATCTACAGGTGCAGTAAATACAGTTTTGAACTACATCAAAAACATTAACAGTTTTGTAGGTGTTAAAGTGATGTGGACCCTCGAAGTAGTAACGAACATAGGGAACTGTCATTGAGGTGATGTAGTTCTACTATGTTGGAGAGAGATGATGACAGAGTACTTCTTTGACGAGAATAAAGTTTACAATGTAGAAAGTAGTGTTCAGTTTTTTCACTGTATATGATAGCCACATTTACATGCAGGGTCGTCAATACAATAATGTTGAAATAAATGGTAGCTTAACTGACTGAAATTAAGACTAGGCCTTGTGTGATGAACAGCGGAGTGTCTTTGGCCATGAAAGAAATGCGTACTTTATGTACGTTATATAGTAATAATAGAGATTGCCTATATTCTTATATAATAGACAAGTTCCTCAGCTTTGGACATTTAAATGAATTAGAAAAAAATTATATTTCTTATGAAACTTGACAAACTATGTATTTTTAGTTCTATATGTTCGTACATCTATAACTGCGTCATAAGCGAGAAGAAGTTGAACATGTAAATAGTAGATCACATTAGTACGTATAGTTTAAGTGTCATTGCTGCATCCTTTTCCTTGTCTATTCATGACCTGCACTTAGCTTGTTAGAGCACAAATGTACAATAAAGGTCTTTCCTTCATTCATTCATTCATTTTTGCGGGAATTTACGGTAGTGCAACATGCACTACCTGAGCCCCAAACAGACTCTAGATCTCACTCTAAAGCGATTTTCGCTCTTGAAATGTCAAATGTTGACCGCACTTAATATGTCATTATCAGTGAATGGCTCGTGTACATACAGGTGAGTCGATAGTTGCCACCAACAATTCAAAACAAAAGTGACTCACGTGTACCTTTGCTGACAGCTCGACAGATCAATGAATATGACATAAATATGACTATTTTTTCGAAATAAAGTGCAAAAGAGAACGTGAAGACACCAAATACATGTAAGTATAGTAGTAGTGATTGGTTTATTGAAAAGAACATATCAGACTTGCAGTAAAAACTGAATTGCGCTGATATTTACAAATTTTGGGATTATACAATACTAGTAGATATAAGAGGGCAACTTACACTTGTGATATACTAAATTTATAAAAAAAAACTATCGTCATCGTCATATTATTATAGTAATATAAGTAAAACAATATAATTCCTCACGAGTTAGATCACTAGTGTCGTTCTACATTAAAATGCCTGCGAGTCTTTAAAGTGCCGACCATCGCTTTACGCCCGTCTAGTTACGAAAGAAAAATCAACATCTAAATGCCGACGGAGGTATAGGGGCTGCAACTGGCTATGGTCAAGATTTTTCGAAAGCTTGTATACAAAGTTTTAAAATAGTTGAAGAAGATACGTCGATGAAGGTTAGACATCCAGGTAACAATGATGCGCCAAAAAGCAGTTACTCAAGCAACTGGATATGATTTTGAAAACGTCAGACGTTTCAGCTAGTATCCACTAGCTTTCGTCAGTGACTGAGAGACCAGAGGGGAAAGCAGGTTTATATACACAACCTGTTGTAGAAGAAGAGTTTAACCCTATCTAGACCGGGTTTTTTGGGCTTGGTGGGACCGGCGGGGGGGTCTCTCTTGGCCCCCCCCCTCAGAACTCGCGAACGGTATATCGTAGTACCACCAAATTTTTAGACGATGGTGTACTAGTAAAAATTTATCATATCCACAATTTTTATGCCGTTGTGACGTAATATGACGTCATTATGACGTCAATAATGTGATTTTATTGGCCAAAACCGTCTAGATAGGTTATTCCCTCAAAACTAAACAGTATACGACATAACTTTACCAAAAGTGTTTATGACAGAATATTAGGATGTACTAAGTCATAAAATGACGTCATGCATATATTACCTATCCGCCAGCTTGGATCATCAATCTTGAACTTTGAAAAATAGTTTTTTTTCAGGATAAAGCCTAAAATACATTGTAAACAGACTAAAGACGTTCATATGAACCTTTTTTGTAAAAACGAAATGGGAGTATTGATGAAATTTTAAGGAAAATAAGCTGTATTTACCTGATCGAATGATATGGTCCGCCATCTTGGATTTTGGCCAATGACGTCATGAAATTAGCATAAATTATGCATTTTTAATGATAAAATTTACATATAATTATATGTGATGTTATTAATATTACAAACAATGTGTAACTTGACATAAAACCCATGAAATTCTGTTGTTTAAATGGAAATTATTAAATTTGGCAAAAAATGCCTGTCAGAAACCCGTTGCCATGGCAACAAGAAAAATCATAATCTTATTCCACTGATACAGATTTGTTGCCAACAATATTTTAGGAAAAGTCACCAAGTTTGGCCGTTCTAAGGCTAGCCGTTCAGACGCTATGTGACATCTTAGTTGCTGCGGGCACTTTTAGCCCCCCCCCCGTCTAGGTAGGGTTAATATTTCTGAAGAACTATCTTTAACATCTTTAGCCTGACCTACATACAGGGCGTACCAAACTAATTAGCCGGAGGGGGGGGGGGTTACCACTGTATGCCGTTGTTGTCAAGAGATGCCAAATCGAAGTGAAGGTCTCTCTTACGTCTGCTTGGAGATGTGTGGGGGACCTGACTTTAACGTTGGATAATGGTGAAACCTTGCAGATGTCTGGGGGACTATTTATTTGGGCTAGAAGCGAGGGTTTTCCAGTATTCATAGCAGTAGGAAAATTCTAATCAAATCTTATTAACCACAAGCTAACTATCAGCCCAGTTAAAATTCTTGGATTGAATAAAGTCAGATTCAAACTTTCCTCCTAGC